TACTTAACCCGTACTTAACTGGGCTATTTTGAGCACCTCCCTGACTGGGGGGGGGGGGGGGAGGGGCCGATTGCCTCGAAAATTGGCACGCGTCTTGAGAAATTGCGCAAAGGAAGAGACCTTACTATTATTTTGCTGAAAATTGCTTATTTTATCAATTATGCTAATTTATGCAATTGCATAAAGGAAGAGACCTCACTATAATTGTGCTGAAAATTACTTATTTTATCAATTATGCTAATTTATGCAAATCAAATTCATGAATAATGATTTTTATTAACAATTACATAAATAAAGCTTTTACAGAGTTGATTTTGTGGCAAAAAGTTTCTAAAAAGCCTATCGGGCATTATCACATAAAAAAATTGTCCATGTCTATTTCAATTCTTATGTATTTCATTGTTTTATGAACTTCTTTTGTATTCTATTGTTATTAATTCTTAATCTTATGTATTGTATTGTTTTAGGACTTCTGATACTTGAGGTTGTTACGTATCAATATTTTGCTTGAATAAATGATAACTAAACTCTAAAGAGTAAAATTATGCTGATTTATAGACCAAACTAGAAACTTCACTTTGCCATTCATTTTGTACACAAAATGACAAATTTCTCAATTTTCGGCTTGACCAAAAACTTGGTGTCAAAAGATCCGTAAGACTTGAAAGAAAAAACTCATGAAGCAGCATCGCCGAAAACATGGCGGTTCATGCGCAACAAAATTTGTTTGGGGGGGGGGGGCCTCCTCCCTCCCTCCTCCCCCCCCCCCCCCCCCCCCCCCCCCCCCCCCCCAGTTAAGTAAGGGTTAAGTAAGGTGTTGGCTTTTTAAAAGTTAAAATCTCTCTAACCACCTACATGTAGACATATAAACATAATAGGTAGATGATCTGATTACATTATGGACTAATTACATGTAGGTCAAATGTATAACCATAGGAAGACGATTCGATTTTTAGAATACAAAGAAAAGAACGGGATGGGTGGGGGTAAAGAAAAATCATTTGACAGTGATCATTTTGTTTGACCCACAATTATGTTTTATCAACCTATGAAATAATAAAATATTGAAGCGTTTAAAGTAATTATTCAAGTTTTAATCAGTGGGATACTATTGATTGAATGTAGTTAATACCTGGAAATGAACTTTTGGACCACTTACCTTAGACTGCGATCCAAATGACATCATGATCACTATAGTAGCTTGCAGTTTGCCATGTGGTGCAGGGTGTGTTAGAGTATACATGATCCAGCAGTGATCCACTGACATGTGTTGGATTGGTGATACATTGCTGAAATCCATAGTGTTGCAGTTCATGCTGGACTGCCATTGAATGCTGATCTTTTAGCAGGTTAAGATTGAAGTCTCCAACAATTATGGCCGGTATTTCTGTTGCTCCTACTGACCTCAGGAGTAGGCTAAATCTGTCACTGAATTCTACCAATGAAGATTTGGGATTTCTATAGACAGTCACCAAATGAAATGGAGAGCTATTGACTGGATGTAGGATGATGCTCTGAATTTCCATCCCAGGTTTGTCTTGTGATGAATCCAAGGTCTGATACCTTACAGATGAGCTGATATACATGCACAGACCACCACCCTTCTCTGTGTTGGATCTATCTCTGCGTAATTGGTGATAGCTTGGCAAATTGTACATGGAAGCAGTGTGATGTGATTGAAGCCAGGTTTCTGTAAGACACACAGCAGTACATTTGTCAAGGAATGGAAGTCCCTTGAGATCATCGTAATGAGCAGGTAACGATCTTATATTGTGCACAGCAATGACTTGTGTTTGGCAAGGATCCTTGAGTGCAGTCTCAATTTCAACATGGAAGAATTGAAATGACATTTCATTGCTCATTCTCATCAACTCTTTGGTCACAGCTTTGCTTGCTTTAATCTTACTTGGTGTGAGCTGCAAAAGATGAAGACCTGACATCTTTGGTACTCTACTCAAAGCAACGTAGCATTGTCCATCATTGAACTTCCCTTCCATAGATACTACTAGATCCTTGACAGTGAGTCCTTGCACCTTGTGTATAGTGGTGGCCCATGATAGTCAAAGAGGAAATTGTTGCCTTTTTATTTCTAGTCCGGGATTACGTGCTGAAATTGAAAATTTTGCTTCTATAACACCAATAGGGACTGCAGTAGGGTGTTGAGCCTTATTCATAGAAGTCTTTTCTCCAGCCATTGCCCCAACTCTTGGATTGTCAAACTGGACTAAGATTTCCTTAGGACTGGTAACTGAAGGATTGAATTCATTGAAGCTGACAATTGTTCCTAATGCACCATTTACAAGACCATCGTTCACATCAATATTCCTAATGAGCATTACTCTTGCCCCTATCTTCAATTCTAGGACAGCTGGCAATCCACCAGTGAAACGTGAGTCTTTGTTCATTACATGACCTTTCAGGGTATTAGGTTTCCTATCTATAGCAACACATTTCCTAATTCTTCCTTTCAGGTGTGCAAGTTTGTCCTCATTGTATGCATCAACCTTTGCGTTCGTTGAGTACACATGCAGTGCATCTGACAAATCATTCTTGTCTTCTGACGAGATACAGCATTGCTGCAAATTTGCCACATCGTCTTCTGTGTGGACACCTTCTCTTATTCTGTTCAGAAGTTCTGCAAATTCTTTATCATCTTTTTGTCTCATGATTTCTGTGAGCTCTGCTATCATGAAATTGTCCTGCCATAGAGATCCTGCCAATCTAGCGAACAGGTCTTTTACTTCTTCAAAGACAAATCGCTGACACACTGGGGCTAACTGGTACAAATCTCCGAAGGCCAAGACTGTTATTCCACCAAAGATGATGTCTGTACCTTTTATTTCCCTTAGACGCTGATCTATTGTCATCAACATGTCACATCCTACCATCGATATCTCATCCATGATCAGGATTTCAAGATCTTGTAGTTTGCATCGAAGTGTGTTCCTTTTTTCATCACTCAACTTTTTGTATCCTTTAGTTTGGCCAAGAGGAAGGAGAAACAGTGAGTGCAAAGTACTTCCATGAATGTTGAATGCAGCAGTTCCTGTAGGTGCTGTCAACAGTACTCTGTGTGCATCAGGATTGGTTCCTTCCCTCTGCAAGGTACGTAGAGCCATTTGGTGAATTGCTAAAATCAGATGAGATTTTCCTGTTCCTGCTCCTCCAGTTACAAAGAGGTGTATGGCATTGGCTTTGCAGGTTGTCTTGCCACTTTTCAAGATATCAGTGCACCAGTTTTTCATGTAGTCAAACACTTTGCGCTGTTCCTGGTTGAGAGATTGAACTTTACTTCTATATATCTCATCAATAAGATATTCAGGTCGACATTCCACAGCCAAAGGTAGTGATGCACATATTTCAGATTCTTTTATGTCTGTGTCTGTGTGTTCAGAGCTCGGTTGAAGGAAGCTGTATTCAGGGTGTATTTGACACTGTTCTTCATTGACCTCCGCGTTTTCTTGTTGAGTTCCTGTATCTAGCGTGTCCCAGGCATGAACAGGAGGCCCCTCTTCTTCATGTCGTTCAAGAGCATTTTCAATGATTTCTGTGAACGATTCTAATGCTGATCTTTTTGACTCAATCTGATCTGATATCGTGTGATAATGATCAGCATAAGTCAGATGATTGTTCTTGAGGTCAGTTTCCTCATTCCTCAATGGTAGGTACAGCATGAGCATGTGGTAGTAATTTCTCTCTTGTTCTTGATTTTCACTGAACTTGTGATACCTGACAATACAAGGCTTGTTACGCTTCTTCATGTAGCCTTTTTTGTCTGTTAATTTGATAGTTTGCTTCAAAGTTGATGATTCTTTGAGTTGATTCAGTTGGAAATCATTCTCAATTTCCATGTCATCAGTTTTGTAGGAAGGGACGTACCATCTTGCAAACTCGGCTACAATGTTATGCTATGTCTTTAATAGATTTTTATGCCTCCGCCACCGAAGGTGGTGCCGGAGGCATCATGTTTTCGGGTTGTCCGTCCGTACGTCCGTCCGTACGTCCGTACGTCCGTCCGTACGTCCGTCCGTCCGTCCGTACGTCCGTCCGTCCGTCCCGTTTGACCGTTATCACAATATCTCAAGAACCATTTAAGATTTAAACTTAAGACTCAGGAATAGTATTTATCACCATAGGAAGACGATCTGATTAGATTTTGGAGTACGTAGGTCAAAGGTCACAGGTCACAGAGGTCAACTTATGAAATTCCTTGTATTGAGTTTGTTAGCGCGATATCTCAAGAACCATTTGAGATTTAAACTTCAAACTTAAGGATAGTATGTATCACCATAGGAAGACGATCTGATTAGATTTTGGAGCACGTATGTCAAAGGTCAAGGGTCACAGAGGTCAACTTATGAAATTCCATACATTGAGATTGTTATCATGATATCTCAAGAACCACTGGAGATTTAAACTTCAAACTTAGTGATAGTGTGTATCACTATAGGAAAACAATCTGATTAGATTTTGGAGCACGTATGTCAAAGGTCAAGGGTCACAGAGGTCAACTTATGAAATTCCATACATTGAGATTGTTATCATGATATCTCAAGAACCACTGGAGATTTAAACTTCAAACTTAGTGATAGTGTGTATCACTATAGGAAAACAATCTGATTAGATTTTGGAGCACGTAGGTCAAAGGTCAAGGGTCACAGAGGTCAACTTATGAAATTCCATACATTGAGATTGTTATCATAATATCTCAAGAACCACTAGAGATTTAATCTTCAAACTTAATGATAGTGTGTATCACCATAGGAAGACAATCTGATTAGATTTTGGAGCATGTAGGTCAAAGGTCAAGGGTCACAGAGGTCAACTTATGAAATTCCATACATTGAGATTGTTATCATGATATCTCAAGAACCACTGGAGATTTAAACTCCAAACTTGTTTAAATTGCTCTATTGCGGAGGCATCATTTTCGACTGCGCGCAGTCAAAATTCCATCTAGTTTTTATTACTATACAATCATTTTTTTTTTTTTTTTTTTTTTACTTCTGTGGCTTCATCTGCTTCATCTCTGCCCTCAACTCCTTTACCTCATTTGACAGATATTTTAGTTTCATCTCAATATGTTCTGTTAGTTGAACAATTCTCTCGGCCTTAACATTGATTTGCTCAATTGCTCCCACATCTAGGATCTTGTCAACTTCCATTGTATAACAGTCTCCTCTGATGAGCATTGCTTTCAGGATAATTTCGGTAGTTTCCAAGATGGGGTCCATCTTGTCCTGAATATTAAAACAAATAATATTGTAAGAGATGGTGGAATAACTTATTTCAATATTTCCTAAGTACTATGTTAACAACTTTATTTAACCCCCCCCCCTCCTCCTCAAAAAAAGAAAGAAGTGATATCGACATGTTATCTGAATTTCAGTTGAAATATATGTTTTTATGGTACTCTTCCTGGTAAATAAATTCAACAGCAAACTAAATCCCTCTAAATCAGAAGGGCATAACTTTTTAACCATTTTTTGTTGTTGAAAATATAAGTCTTCCCAATCAGCAGCAGTTATTCTTTCACTCAATATAAAGCATCTTTGTCATGTGGGCCTTGTCCAAAGGCTATGCATGAGAGAGCACACATTTAAAGTCACAAGAGTTTTTTTTTTTTTTTTGGGGGGGGGGGGGGGGGTCATTTTCATGAATTCTGTTTCTGGGGCATATTCAATTGCTGTTGTTTATCATCCATTGTTAGACTCCCATCCTAACCCTTTTTTTTCATCAACCCTCCTAATTTTTTGCAAAATCCGTTCAGTGTGCTAAAATAATTAACATCAGATATTAAATGACGATTTTCCCTTTAATTTGTGCTAATAGTGTTACCTTTTCTAAGCATCTTAGCACCAGACTAAATTGATATACTCGCATTCAACGTGCCCTCGATTCCAGCTAGAACTGAAGAAACGATTTTCTGGAATGCGCTAGGTGCTGAGTTCAGTCCATAGGGCATACGGCGATACTGAAACATGCCTATGTGTGTGTTGAATGCAGTGAGATGGCGGCTCTGCTCTGCTAGCGGAACCTGGAGATAGCTACGTCTCATGTCTAGTTTAGAGAAAACTTTAGCTCCGTGGAATGAAGCTGAAAGTTCATTCATAGTAGGAAGTGGATACTTATCCGGAATGATTGCCTTGTTGACTGCCCTCAAATCTACACAAAGTCTAAGATCTCCATTCTTACGGCGTGCGATGACCAGATTAGACACCCACGGGGATGAATCGATGCGCTCGATGATGCCATCGGATTCAAGCCTATGAAGTTCCTTTGAGACTTTATCCCTGACAGCTAACGGAAGTCGACGGAGACTCTGTGCAGTAGGTGGGACTGAGGAATCCACCCTTGGTGCATGGCAATATCCTTTGCATTTACCAAACTCGTTAAAAAGTGCAGCATAGCGTTCTCTATACGCATTGTCTATGAGCCGAATGCGTTCACCAGTGTGGTCGTTCATCTGAAATCCTAGGGCGTCGAACAGATTGACTCCCATAAGGCTCTCGCCCTTCGCTATGTAGAACGTAAAGCTGTCGAGATGTACATCCTTGTACCCGACAAGAAGCTCAACCGTGCCCAGAACGGAAATCAGTGTAGGTGGTTCACCATATGCTATGAGCTTGCTCGATGTCGATGACAGGCTACAATGTGAGAAATGTCGATGATACAGTTTATCACTAAGAATTGACACTTTGGCCCCCACATCAATCATCAAAGAGAGGTTAGTACCAGCAATCTGCACTTCACATTCTTTGAACTGACCTGAATTTGCTGAAGAAATCCGGTCTGAGAGTGTGAACACGCTGCTTGCTATGTCGCCCTCTATTGGTTCATCAACGTGTCGAACTGAAGATGCACTTTTCTTGGTAGATCTGCATACGCTAGAGAAATGGTTTATCTTCGAGCACGAATTGCAACGTTTTCCAAACGCTGGACACGCTTTCGGAGGGTGTGTCCGTCCGCAGTTCGAACACGACTTCGAGTTAGCATGGTTAGAGCGGGCTTTGTTATGATATGGTCGTTTGATGTTCTGTACTGGAGTTGCCTGATGTGCAGTATGACTATGTCCTGTACTGGCACTCACAGTCACATCGTGTTGTTTGAGGAGCTTGGCGTCCAGCATTGCGGCTTCGATCTGGATCGCTAGATCGAGCGCCTTCTTAAGTGTCAGACCGTCATCCTCCATTAACAGACGTTCTCTAATACGGGGAATAGACGTCTTCTCGATTAGTTGATCTCTAACCAGTTCATCGTTTAAGGTGCCAAACTTGCACTTGGATGCCAGTTCGGTTATGGCTGCCACATATTGTTTTACTGGCTCCCCATGACCTTGTACTCTCTGTCGGAAACGATATCGTTCGATCATCACACTTGTTTTTGGCCCAAAATATTTCTCAAGTTCATCAACAGCTTTATCGTACGTACCGGTAGTAGACACTTCCAGCTGTCCGAAGATCCGCTGCCCCTCTGCGCCCAAACAGTGGATCAGGATTGCGCGGCGGCGGAGGTCGGGTATCTCCGCTGTGTCCAACCCGCTTGCAGTCAAATACGTTTTGAAGCTCAAAATCCATCGTGACCAAGGCACAGGAGGTTCTCCTGGGGTTGCTACGAATGGGTTAGGTGCTACAAGACCTATTCCAGCCATTCTCGTCGCCAGATGTAGTATTTAGGAACTCAGAGACATAAAACTAGATACAATGAATTTAGAAGTTGAGATGATTTAATCTATTCCAAGATGTCCGATCATATTGTGTTCATGTGTACATAAAGGGGATTGAGCCCTCGACGTTGACTGTTAGCACAGTCTTACAAACACAACAGTAATACATTAAGTTCTAGTTCTGGTTTGGGTGTATTGTAAACATCTTGTTTAAATTAAAGGCAAAATACCACCTCTTGGTCTTGTGAACCATTTCTCCTTATCTTAATAATCTTGACAAGAAATTAATGTATACATGGGCATCGGTGAATTCTCTGGAGTGTGGGGAGGGGGGGGGGGGACACAATCAGCCATTCAGCTGCCTGAAGGGCTGTTGGGGGGGGGGAGGCCATTAATATCTTTTGTCTAATCATAACCTTCCTCATCCCCAACATTCAACGTATTCACATACTAAAAAGGGAAAGAAAATGGTCACTTTTCAATTTTTCTATCTTTTTTAGTAAAATTGTAGGGGTGGGACATTTCATCTGGCACCCCTCAATGTTTTATGAAAATTGATTTTAAAAATACAATTTTCTCCCCCATATTTGTCTCTCTCCCCCCCCCCCCCCCCCCATATTCCAAATCATGAGGGGGGAGGACATTGTGATACATATACCGGTACATGTATATTCCCCAAGAAATATATAAGAGAAGACGTGTCCAAATCAAAACCCTGTCCCCAAAGTCTTTGGTCATAGATTTTTTTAAAATCAAATTTGATGGTATTAATTGGGAGTCAAAAAGAGTAATAATGAAAGTGACTCTAGGGGTCTAGCTACTGAGGTGCACATACATTGTACATGTTCAAAGCCATCCCAGAAGATGCTTAAAGTGCTGTCAAATTACACATGAGCTATCCGCAAGATTACCAGTAATTTTGCTGCTATTTTGCGGACAGCTTTAATACCTGCGTATATAAACAGGTGTCAATAATACTATATTGAGGTTCCTCCTATTTTACGCTAATTTTGCTGATAGGACACCCGTTCATATCAAAATACCATAATATTGCGGTATTAATTACCGTATTTTGTGGCGTATTTGAACAAGGGTTACGATAAAACGCTTACCGATATGCATCGGCAATATTGCGGTATTCGTGTACCCTAAGACACTGATATGTTTCAAATCCATATAGTAAAGTCTAAACAAAAATTTGTATGCAGTTTAATGTCAAATATACACGTACATGTAGCAGACAAAATGCAAGCTCAAGGCTACAGTATATCATCCCCTGAAAATAACATGGAAAACAAAATTCTCTGGAAATCTCAAAAGAGCCTTTAACATATTCAATTAAATTTATTAATTTCATGATTTTTCCCACAAATAATACAACTGTCGACATTATTCCTTTTACAAAGAAAGCAGTTCCTTTATGATACCAAGATAGGGGGCTGCCTGCCCCATACCCCCTAGCTAAGGAAGATTCCTGTCTCCTACATTGTTTACCTCCTAATGGAAAACCAAAACTTGTATTCATTAATGTTGTTATTATTAACACAAAAAGCAAATTCATCCTTTAAAGATGAACTCTGTGAACTTTCCAGGTTGTTTACATGTTCTCTGAACATTCCAGGTTGAAATGTATCACAAATATGTATATGTACATTGTTGTTAGATAGATAGATAGATAGATAGATAAATGGTATTTATTGATTCATTTCCATGTATCGCAGTTACAAGTAACTGAATTGTGCATGAATAAAACATTGATGGTGAAGACAATTATACATTTCAAGAGATATCACAGTAAAAAGTAACTGAATTGCACATGAGTAAATTGCTGGAAAAAGCAAGTATACATTTCAAGATGTCACACTACAATCTACATAATTATGAAGAGCGTGTATATACCATTGATCTTATACAATATTTCAATTTAAAAATTTGAGTTAAAAAAGAAAGAGAGATAGGAAAGCAGGAGAGAGAGAAACAAAGAGAGATAAAGAGAGAGAGAGAGAAAGAGAGAGAGAGAGAGAGAGAGAGGGGAAGAAAGGGGACAGATGGACAGAGAGGGAAAACAATTATGTACATGCTGATAAAATACAAAGATACATTGCAAGACAAATATGAATATTATTAGGTGAACATTAGAGATATTAAGATATAAATATAGATATGCATCGCATTCTTCATGTCATAAAAATTACATTGACAAACTTGGTAAAAAATCAGACCTCAAATTTATGAATTAATTATATACTATTTGTTTCAAAGTATATTAAATACAATCATAAAAAACTTTTGTTATACAAGCGTATCAAATCTGGGATTGGGCTATTCTGCATACGTTTAGTTTTGCACCTGGGTTCAGGGATCTTGTTAGTTCTTCGCAAAGTTCTATTGTGTGCTCTTTGGGGTATAAATTGTTTGAACTGGTTTGTGCATGATAGAGTTTTTTTAAAGAAGGTAACACATAAGTCATTTCGACGACTTTCCAATGTTTGTAATTTCGATTTAGTAAGAGCGTTTGCGTAACTATGGTAATCCTTTCTAAAGATAATCCTCAATGCACGTTTTTGTATTCTTTCTATGCGTTGTTTTTGTGCACTAGTGAGGCCTCCGCTCCAAACTTGAGTAGCATATTCAAGGATTGGGCGAATATAGCCAATAAAAATAGTAATCAGATCTTCATGTGAAAAACCGAACTTCCCTAAAGAACGGAGCGTATATAGTTTCGCATTCGCTCTTTTTTCAATATCTCTGACATGGGCTTCCCACTTCAAATCGTTTTGTATCGTGACACCAAGTAATTTCACCTGTGAAACAGTTGAAAGAACACAATTTTCGAGAATGATGGAAGACTGATTGACTGGTACTCTTGAAAAGCAAATGTCCATTTTGATACACTTCGCAGGATTCAATTGCATTTTATTAGTATCAGCCCACAAAGATAAACATTCTACAGCCTCTTGCATGTTTGAAATTTGGTTCGTTTTACGACACTCAACTAGGGTTAGATCATCGACATATTTAAACATATGTATGCTTTCAAAAGATTTGAAATCATTTATCATCACAAGAAAAATTAGGGGCCCAAGTTTCGTACCCTGGGGCACACCTGCATTTATTTGACACCATTCTGAGAGATCACTGTGATAGCGAACTCTTTGTTTACGTTCAGAGAGAAAATCAGATATCCAGTAAACTACCGCTGGTCGTACACCGATTTCAATTAACTTTTTGATGGCAACTGTATGATCTATTCTATCAAACGCTTTTTGAAAATCTGTAAGAAGTATCGTCGATGACGTTTTTGGTACCTCAGCATTTAAAAAAACATAATGAAGAATATTAATCAAACAGTGTGAGGTCGATAAACATTTCTGGTTTCCAAACTGATAGGGGTCAATATGTTGGGCAATGTCCTGATACATCCACTTTGCGATGAAACCTTCAATGACTTTAGCAAAGTGATCTGTTAATGATATAGGTCTGAGTTTGTCAATACGTGCAGGATTCACCTTTGGGATCGGTACTACAATAGCACATTTCCATGAGGCCGGAACTTTTTCTTGACTAAAAGAAGCATTAATTATATAGGTTAAAGGTCCCGAGAGTTCAACAGAAAAAAGACGGATTAGGCGTGCTGAAATATTATCTGGGCCATTCGCCGTCGAGCATTTGATTTTAGAAAGAACTTTATTAACCTGCCAAGGACATATCTCGGGTAAACTTTTAGAAGGTAAGTATGCAGGTAAAGCTGCTAAATTTAGTGGTTGTAAATCAGAAGAGACAGATATGAGATGTTCGTTTATGGCATTCGCAATTTTATCCCTCTCACTAGGATCTACACCATCAACTGGGATATTGAGTGATTGACGACTTCCCTTTGTGAGAATGCGTATTTCTTGATACCATCGTGAAGGATTACTTTTCTTAAGTTTCTGAATACGTGACCTGTAATATTTAACTTTTGCTTTCTGAATTGATGAATTTACTTTGTTTCTTAAACGTTTCCACAAAATTCCCTTACCCTGATGAAATGCAATTTGTCTCTTATGAATCAGAGATTTAATTTCACCTGTCATCCAGGGCTTATCTCTAAAGTGCAATAATACCTTACGAGCTGGAAAATGAATGTTAATTGCATTATTTAAAGTACTATAAAAAGAACCACATCGAACATTTACATCAACATCTTCAGTCACTTCTGGCCAATCATAAGAAGATATCCACTTCAACATTTAACATACATCAACACATTCCACTCTATGCAAAACAGCGTCCAAATGACAGTATGTAAAGTAGGATCACTTTGTCACCTTATTTGCATATATACATCTAAATAAGGTGTCAATTTGACATGATATGTAAATAAAGTGTTAGTTCAATCGTACTTTGCATATATGCTGTACTCTTTTATCCTAAATTTGCATATCCTATTTTGCATTGAGTGTGTACATGTATGCCAATAATGATCTACACTATTAAACTGGGTGTGCAAAGTGCAATCAAGGAGTTGACCGTTTGGTCTATTTGGCCTACTGCCATTTGGTCTATTGTCATTTGGTTCACTTCCATTAGGTTTATTAAGTCTTCTTCCATGTGGTCCATGCATTACCGATTGTACAACTCACCACTTTGCTTTAATAACCATTTGGTCTACAATGCAGATAGATTATTAATAATTTCATCTACTATCAATTGGTCTACTGACCATTTGGTCTACAATTGATTATTCTACTGACCGGTTGTATGTTAACCATTTGGTCTACATCTGTTAGGTGTATTGACCATTTGATGCCCTACCATTTGGTCTACTTCTGTTTGGTCTACTACCCACTGCTCTACTATCATTTGGACAGTTACTTCAAGGATATTAATATTATTATGTATAATTAGACCATAAGGCCATCAAAGTCATACATGTACATGTACATGTATGTAACCCATCACCTCAAACGACGATAAAACGCAAATCTGACAATGGAGCAAAC